GAGGTAAATGAGTGATATAATTAAGTACTTTGTCTGTTCCCAGGCATCTAAGAAAGTCTCTCTATTAAGAGGCTTGAAATTTTCCAAGAGCAACCTTCTCTAAATAAAACAAATTTGAAGTATATTTCAAGTAAGATGATGCAATTACTACTTTTATTGATTTTTTTATACAGCTATTTAGTATTTTAAAAGGTTAAGTGATTTTGTTGGTAGCTGTTGATACTTGTTTCTATGACAGAACTCTATTGATTGAGTTCCATTTTTGTTTCTAACTTGAACAAATTCTTCTAGTCTTCTATTCACAAGAACAGTCAACATAAGGTGAAAAGGTAAATAACCTGAACAATCAGCCAGTGCAAACAGTGAGGTTGAAGTGTAACTGCTGCACAAGTTCTGGCCTTACAATGAGTTTTTCTGTTAGGAACTGCTTTCCTTGATTTTCATCTCCTGTGAAGACAGACTTTCAAGGCTGTCTTCTTGTTCAAGGGCTGCTGAGAGAGAGTAACAGTTGTGGAGAAATAACTGTTACACGCTTTGGGCTAGTGGGTTTTTTATTTCTTTTTGTAACAAACCCAGCACCATTAATGAAATTCCAGTCTGTCTTATTTTCTCAAGAGAAAATACAGATACAACTGACAACCTTGATTAAGCCTAAAAATATTCCACAAATTCCTGAAGTTTCAGCTTAAAAGATCTTTCTACCTGTGCACTGAACCTATTTGAAAGAAATAAATTCACCATGGAACTTGGCATGGTTATATGGTCATATATCAGGTTATAGCTGTATTTCACAGCGTAGTTTCAAGAACTATATATGAGAAATGTCTGGTTTATTTTTAAGTCATTTAAGATGTTTGAGATGTACCCCCAAAATCCCTTTCCGAGAGAGGTTGTTGCTTCTCTTCCCTACCTCTAAGATAATAGCAAAAGATCAGAACAAGTATCTGTGAACATGTACAGCTACTTTTTTGTTTTCTGAAACAAAGTGGGAATATTTAATGCTGGCTGCGTTTTTTAGTCACAAAGATTTCATGTTCAGAGTGTGGGAAGATGGAAAGCAGAAAAAAACTATCTTTGAAAGGCAAGTATTTTAATAGTTATGTTTATCATCAAGACCAGTGGTTTGGGTTTAGTGACTCATTGCATAATATGATGCCTGAAACTGGTTCAAGTTTACAGCAGGGCTGCCACAAATTGGACTTAAGTGGCCTGTTATCGTGTGCTCTGGTCGTGTCATTGTGTTTGATAGGTTTGGGGTTTGCCAATAACTGATGACAAGGTTACCACTTGGTTATTGTGTATTATGAGCTCTCATATATAAACCTGCTCACGAGCAGCTTTAATATTTAGCAAAATGGTTTTAATTGATGTAAGAAATACATGTTTGTCTTCACCTTAAGGATTTTTCTGTACCTTTCTGCAAGAGGAATAAAGACTGAAGATTAGGGCCTGGCCTTAGGTTATGCTGCTATTAATCCAGAGTAACCTGTCATCTTTCTTAAAGCTATTCTATAATTCACCATGGTAATTAAAATTCAAATATTATACTGAAGTTGTTCCATTTCCATTCTACTTGGACACTGTTACATGTAGAATAGGGGCTGTTTTGTCTTTCCTGACTTAGTCTTCTACAAAAACTTGCCTCCTTCTATAAGTTTTATTTGGAAGGGCCATCAAAATGTGGCTAACCCATTACCTTAAACTGGCAATAAAGAACCATGGTATATGTTCACTGTAAAAATGCTCTCTATTTATTCAAAGTGCAGAATCTGATGTATAATTTAAATTTTAATAGGTCAGAGCATGCTCACTGCGGGTTCTTTTCACGTTTTGAATCAACATTTTGAAAGAGGAAATTAATTAAATGGGGGAGCCAGTACATGGAGTGCCTGTGGATTCCCAGTAGCAGGGAGGAGATCTCAGCATAAAGTGGGTTTTCTGATCCACAGTACAGGGAGTCTTTGGTTGAGAGAAAAAGAAAATGCAATTAGAGAGAGAGACAGTCACTGTCATCCAAACGCTGTTTAAAAGTGTTCTAGAACACTCTAAAATAAACCCCTAAAATAATCCAGCACAAACCATTCAGAAGGAAGTGTAGTTTCTAAAGTTCTCCTCAGGACATGTTTTGGCAGTATTTTTTGTAACTGAGACGAAAAAAAAAAACAAACCTGTTTCTACCCAAGCAGTCAAAGCCGAAAGACTTGAAGGCTGCAGTCAGTTCAGGAGACAAAAATAACCCCTGTGCGCGTCAGGTTTTCCAGCGCGGCCGCCCCAGGTGAATGGGGGTTTTATGGAGCAGGGGCAGGGCAGGAGAGAGGGGAGAGGGAGGGGAGAGGGAGGGAGGGAGCCACGCAAAACTGAGTCAATACCCGACGTTGTTGGATGTCTGTCCCCGCCCGGAACGCCCGCGGTGGCTGCGCTGGCGTTGCCAAGGATTAGCTCAGTGCTCTGCTTTGGCTCAGAACTTACTTCTCACAAAGAGGCAGAATAAGTTCATTTTAGAAGTATAAAAATCTATAAGGGTAATTATTTTGAGGGCCATTTCTACTCTCGCCCGGAATTTCTGTAGCTTCCCAAATAGCTTTCTAGTCTGCATATGTAAAACCACACAAACTTTGTAATTTTATTTGTATTTCTTGATTATATTTCTGGCTTTCTTATAACAACATTTTCCTTTTTAAGTTGTAGATAAGTGTTTACAAAACTCTTCTAACTTTAAAAGCTCTTTAGATTCTAAAATGTGTCCTTTCAGTTGAGTTGGTGAAAAAAACACTACGGACTAAAGTGTATTCACTTCTATAGCCTTAAAATAACACAGCTCAGGTCCGTTACTTCACGTGTTTGTGTAACCACATTGTATTTACTTTTCTATTGCATATGAGCAACTAATTACTATAGCATCTCTCTCTTCTTATAGTATTTATATTTCTGTAGTCACCACAACTTTAAATAGGAACAAAAAAAGCATAGCACTCTTGGCTGGACAAAAGGACCCAGAGAAAATATACATATTTTTAAAAAGATACAGCACCCCTCTGTCTCTGCCATCTCCCATCCTGTGTGTAAATTCCTTTTTCTTGCTAGTCAAGGGGTTGTCTGATATCATTGTGTTCTGATTCTTTCTTCTAAGTCTTCTGTAGTCTGCTGTGCAAAGAGAGATTCCTGAAAATTCAGGAGATCTGTGTTTCTTCCTGAACCACTTCATGCTTCCCAATAACAATAATGCAGATCCACATTTTGCATTATTCGGTTAAATATCTGCTGTGTCATACACAGGAGATAGGGTTCTCGTTTCAAAGAAACTAAGATCTTGAGGTGGTGTAACTTGAGAATGGGAGAAAAGTGGTAACACATACCCAGGCACTATAGGAATGATTCTGCCTTGTGTGGGGAGGTTACCAAATCCCCAACCTGCACTGTGGGGAGACAAGTTTGGATGCTTGTGGAGATGAGAAAGGAGAAGATGAGAAGGTTCTCATGAAGAGGTCTGTCATTCATTTTATCAAGCCAAATTTTTTAATCTTTTGGGAGCTTTTCTGAGCATTATGGGATGATAAGTCTTTGCTGACTCACTCAGGGCTTCTCAAAGACTATGGATGGTAGAAAACAGGATGTGTACAGCAGCATGCAGTTAATGCATCCTCTCTTTTTTAACTCAAGAAACTAAACTGGAATTGTGTAAAATAACAAATAGGAGGGACGCAGAGTCCCGTGCAGTGACTGCCAGCCATGTGCAGGAGGTTCAGAGCTGTGGGTTGCTCTGTAGCCCTGCCTGTGCACTAGGACAGCACGACTGCAGCTTAAATATTGCAGGTACCTGTGTGGCAAATACAGGTGGGACACCTGGGAGGCTGATTGAGGGATAGAGGGATTACTGGAGGAGGTGTGCCAGGGAACCAGCTGTGGAACTGAACCTGCCGGTCTTGCTGTGGAAATGGAATGCCAGGGAAACACATCTCCAGTCGAGACTTTCAGACGCAGCCCAGTTTGGGATTCTCCTTGTGGCCCTGGCACTTCCAGTTTTTGTAACGGCTCCTGGCTGGGAGCTGGTAACAGCTGTCTGATTTGGGTGAAGACAAACTTCACTTCAGGGCCCTTCCAACTCCTCTTCTCAGCAGTGTGTTGCAATCTCCTAGACCAGGCTGGCACACACTCCGTGTGTCAGTGCCCCAACAAGGAAGGGAGTGGGGATGATGTGGCCATGTGCCCCAGGCAGGGTGATGTGGCTGCATGCAGGGCTGCACCGCAGTTTACCATGGTTTGTGCACAGAACCACACCCAAAAGACTGAGGGATTTTTCCTCTATATCCTCCTGAAGTAAAATGAACCAGTTCAGCTTTTTAACGGTTCAGAGTAAGCTGGTTAAGTTTGTGCTGGAAGACAGCAGAGCAGAGCTGGCATACTCAGGATCTGTTGAGAGGATGCTGAGAAGTCTGCTCTGTCCTGGCCCTTCGTTAATGCTGTACAGTTGGGCCACAACTGCTGATAAAATGGGGGAATTCATCACTTTGTGCATCACCTCTGTTTTAGCAGGTGTGCTGTGAGGGAAGGGAAAGGTTACTTTGTTGATTCTGAAGGTGCTGTTACTTAATGAACATCAACGTTTAATTTTCAGCCTAAGAAAGGGAGAGCAGCTACTTGTACAGTAACAACTCCCGTGCTATTCTCTGACTTGGCAAGAAAAGAAACTGTTACTAAACCAACAGGAGCTATTCTGGAGAGAAGGAAATATTTGTTTTGTCTGGCACTCCATGCCGTTTTTGCATAACAATGCATGATTAGTTATTCATCTATCACTTAGGAGCTGCTTGGTTTGTCTGTGGCCAGAGTGAGTTATTTATTTAAACTGCTGTGGTGAGCAACAGCAAGAAATTTCCTATCCCTCTTAAATAGAGTCTAGTTAATGAGTATATTAGGTAAATGTATTTTATTACTGCTCTTTGTTAACTAACTTCAGAACTCTATGAAAGAAACCAATATGGTTGTATGTTTATCAACAGGCCAAGTTCTGGTAGAAATCTCAAGAACACACAAGAAACTTAATGACAGTCTAGAGGAGAGTGTAAGTTAAATGACTTTTTAAAATTCATTTTCCTTGTGAAATTATAAATTGCTTTTGCCAATTTTTAATAACTCTTCATTCATTTGTTTTTAAAGTTCAAAAAATTTCATAAAGAAATTATATCTGAACTGGAGAAGAAAACAGACCTGGATGTGAAATACATGACTGTAAGTATACATTCAATTCTAAAACTCCTATTTTATTTGTCTATTGCTAGTCAAAGAATTTTTTCAGAAATTGTTCCCAAAGAATTAATTAATCAATAGGCTAGAAATGATACATAAAGATGGCCAAAATTTTCATGCTTAATTTAAGTTAAAAAGGGAATCAATTTTATGACTTCACAGGTCCTTAAAACTAAAGCAACTGTTGAACTCATTTGGTGGGTGGGAGAGATCTCAGGGATGGCAGAAGTGCCTCAGTCACTTACCCAGCTCCAGGGCTGAGGGCATTACAGATGTTGTAAATGCTTTGATTGCAGGCAACTCTAAAGAGGTACCAAACCGAACACAGGAGCAAACTGGATTCTTTAGAGAAGTCTCAGGCTGAGCTGAAAAAAATCAGAAGGAAAAGCCAAGGAGCACGAAATGTGACGAAATATGAGCATAAAGAAATGGAGGTCAGTGCA